TATTTTCCGCTTAATAACAATCTCTTTCCTCTTAGTTAATCGATATTTTCCCGGAACCGAGACCGTAAAGGATGTCTCATTACAAACCACGTATCCATTAAGAAACCAAGGAAAAAGCGTGTATATGCATTTGCTTCGTCGCGCAATAGATATTGAGCGTCACGAACCGCGGGTCTCACATGCTCGTTGCGGTACTTTTCCTTCAGGCAGGATCTCGATGTTTGCGTTCGTCGCTATAATTCTACGGATGTAATTACTTTGCCAACGCGCACTACGTACAGATCGGGCGAGCGTAGTACCGTGAGGTGATTCGCGGAATATTGCATCTGTTGATCGGCCGAAGGTCTTCCGGTGAATCGGTCCGCGTATCCGATTCGCGGAAGGAAAATCGTTTCACGCTATTTCTATCGCCTTCGCAGTGAACGCGGCGCTGTAGCGTCTCTGGCTACTCGCCGGGCGATGAGCGGAAAGATCGATACGACGTCGTTTCCGGGCGCGATGATCGAGTGGATACACGGTAGATTATAACGCGCATCGACTCGTTTTCGAATGTCCACGCGCTCTTAGGGCAGGCCCGGTCCATTCGTCGGGTGCCAGTGATTTATCGTTAAATCACAGCCACATAAATTAACATGCTAAATCGCGCACGTGCGACGGTAAATCAAAACTTCGGTGCCTGTGGCTGTTGCGAGCCGCCGCTGGACAAATTTCCCGGCCGATATTTACGAGCATATTTCCGAATTAACGCTTTTACGCGGATTGGTCGCGTTAAACTGGTCGGAGCCGGTAATTAATTGTCGTCCCGCGATTTGTCTACAGTGTACAGGTCTGCTAGTTTTAACTTTCCCCCTTTTTCTTCTGTTACAGGTAAGCGCAACGTTCCTACTTTTTGTCTGGCGCGCGTATGCGCACGTACGGGGTAAGCAGTGGGAAAAGTATCGGGTGCCCCAGTATCGGTGAGTCGTTCTGTCTTTTTCGGTTCCGTTGAGCCGCGCTTGTGCGTGGAGTTGCGGCTCGAGAGTAACGAGTCAAAGGGCATATGGGTGGATGGGTGGATATGTGGGAAGAAAAAACGTGGAAATCGACGAAGGATATGATGTGCGCAGTGCACGTGCTTCGCAGAGGAGCTCGCGATTACGCGATTACACGAGGGTTTATAGGAGGGCTGGGATGCATGGAGAAGGTGGTTCGAAACTCGAGTGAACCAAATGGAAATCCTGATTTCATTCCAAGACGCGCAGTCTGCGAAAGAGGCCCGACCCCGTATAGGCAGAAAATGAGGAATCCGGCTGGAGGGATGGTCGAAACGTAATTTAGACGGGCGCAAATATAGATGTCAAGATGTTTACTATTAGTTGGAACCAGGCCAAGTCTACCTCGCGCTGGATTTCCGTATGCGACCCTCGTGTTCGCCGACTATCGGTTATGTACCCCTTTTAGGTCTCGTTAACGTGAAGTGCGTTTTCGGAAGACTAGAAGACTAAAAGATTTGTAATTGTCTGATTTAACCGCATCGTGTCGTACGTTGTTCCGTTTCTTTATCTTCCTGCGGTTGCGTTTGTCGATGCTGGTGTTCAGTCGGTTTGCGTTTACGATTTCGAATTATTTTTCAATCTTGCATCTGAGAGAGAAATATTCATTATAGCGTTATCAATTGGTTCGTGAAATATCTTTATGAGAGAAGTAAGAAACGTTGAGAACGATCGTAGAAAATACATTTCGGGACGAGATTACGACGACAGCATGTTAGGAAACTTCTTCTCGTTTCGAGAATATCTATATACTTTCCACCCGGCTCCATGTGTGACTAAATGAAATCTACTCGAGTCGATGAACGATTATTTCTGGCTACCAGAACGTTCCGAGAGCTGGAATATTCTGTCCGCCCACGCGTTGCGCGTCGACACGAGACGATCCGCTCTGTAACAATGGCGCTGGGTTTCCGATTTTAAGGCTCTCGGTAGTATAAATTGGGCAGCTCCGTTATCGTTCCCGAGTGATTCGAGTGCGATTCCGAAGGAACAACGCCGGGCCTTCGTTCGAGGATCTCCGGAGATTTTCAGTTCCTTTCTTAGTCGAAAGAAGAAAGAGAGGAAGGGACGAGAGGAGCTGAGAGCTCATTCTCCTCCCTTTTTACTCGTGGCTGGCTCGAGTTCCGTTCCCTACTTACCTCCCGTCCTGCCAGCTACCATACCGGAGTGCATCGGGCGAACTCTCTCCGGGCGAAATCTCGCCTCGTTCCACGGCAAACAAGTATATATGTATACCCGACCGCGAATCACCGCGCCTTTATCGCGTGTTTCCCGCCGAGCGATTTTTGCTCCATTTAACTTTGATTATAAGTCGTCTCGCGTTACACGAGCTTTAGCCTGCAGCTTAAGGGACGGAATCGCGCGCGCGGATCTACGGAACTCCCGTCGCATTCCATGGACCGAGAAATCTAGCGTGGCTAAGCGCGCCGCTATCTCCGTCCGACTGCGACGGCCAACCGAGACCGGCTGGATTTTCGGACTCCGAGACACTTGGCTTGTTTCGTTCATTACCTCTTTTTCGTTGACAGTATTACATGCCGATTTCAGTATCCTATTCCGCAGTGCTTATTTCTCGATACGATCGCATTATAATCTGTTCAATTAGAGTGTCAATAACTCGAAAACAATATTTGCCGTTGTACAAGCGAATGAGCAAATCGATGTGGTTTCAAATAACTGCGAGTTCAGTTTAAATAATTGCACTGGCATACACCGTTTGAGGATGTATAGGCCATACACTTAAACAATGCTGGCATGTTGAATTTGTTATTACAGATTCCTATTACTATTAAAAATCTAAAATTATAGTGATTTCAAATTTTTTATAGGTAATAGTATCACCTACAACTTATATTCGAAGTATTTGTCGAAATTCCGCGAAAAAAAAAATTTCGATTTTGTAGCCCTTCAATCCCAATCTGCCCAATTCTGCCCGAATCTGCAAATTCAAGCCCAAAGTGTACCCCTTCAATTTCTTCCAAATTTTCGTTTTTGGCCAATAACTCCCAAACCGTTGAATCTACGGGAAAATTGCATACGACCTTTCTTGTAGAGGACGACGAGATCT